GGTTATCCGGATCGACATTTAGGATACTTTGTACTGCGGGAAAATACCTCATCTCTGAGAAATCTATATTAACCGTTAAAACGTACCAAGGCACGAACCCGAGCAGAGCGAGGGTGAGTCGCTAGTTTTAAATAAGTCTTCTTTAATAAGTCTTGTTTTAGTAGTTTTAAATATTCGATTTTTCGCCGATTTATCTCGATATATCCCTGCGTATCGAAAGAATACTTGGCATGATTTTTAAAGTGCTTTATTGCATGTTAAACATTCGAAACGTCGCGTCATCCTAAACTCTACTATTGTTCATATTAAAATTTAACAACGCCATAAAATCTTACATTTGGAATGAATTACCTAAGAACATACTTAACGTGATTAATAAATTTCTTTACGACGCACTACGTTCTTTATAACTTTAAAGTGTAAACATAAAGTTACTAAATTGAAGTATAAAATAGATATATTTAGGGATTATTTCGTACTATTTGTTTCCTTCGGTTTTGTCCGGGAATAATTTTTAACCACTTAAAATGAGCAAATTTGTATTTGAGTGTGAAGATATAGTTCTTATGATATCTTGTGATATTAGAACTATTGAAATATTTCTTCTTCATATATATGTACATTGTACATATATTATCTCTAATAGGCTAAATAAGAGCATTTATTATTATAAGAACTTAAGAACTTAATATTACTGCAAAGAAAGAAAAGAAGTGCTTTTGAAATTCCTCATTTTTAGTTTGAACACAGCAAAAAATGAATTATTTTTGAAAGATTTTTGGAAATTTCCTGCTTATTTACAACTCTACATAAGTATTATTTATTCAGTTTATAAGTACAATAAAGTATGTATACTTTTATATATGTATTTAAAAAACTAATATACGGTTGCTGCAGAAAAAGGATAATATTAATAAACCAGCGACTCACCTTCGCCACGTTCGAGTTCGTCCCTAGTTACGTTTTAAGGTTTAGCATAGATTTCTCAGAGATGAGATATTTTCCCGCAATAAAAAGTATCCTAAGGCAGTGGTAGCCAGTGGTAACACGCTCGCTTGGGAAACCGAGTGAAGCGGGTTCAAATCCCGGTCTCACACCACCGATATTTTCATGTGCGAATTATTTCCAACATGATTACCACTTGTCTTAACGGTGAAGGAAAACATCGCGAGGAAACCTGCATGTCTGAGAGAACCTAGCAAATTTTCAAAAGACATGTGAAGTCCGCCAACCCGCACTTGGCCACCGTGGTGGACTATGGCCTGATCCCCCTCGTACTGAAGGGAGGCCCATGCCCTGCAGTGGGACGTTAAAAAGGGCTGAATACAAAAAGTATCCTATATGTTCACCCGGATAACCAGCTATCATCATACCAAATTTCATCAAAAATCTCCAGTAGTTTTTCAGTGCTGCGGTCACAGACAGACAGACAAAAATTCTAAAAACTATAAATTCGGTCTCTGTATCGATAATAATGTCTATTTCAATAAGATTTTCCAAAAATATTTAATGTACAGATTCGGCTCTTATTACAATTTTATTATATGTATAGATAAAATAATTTGTTATACATCTATGCCGTTCTTAAAGCTTATATATTATATATAGTTAAATAAACAAAGAGAAAAATAGTCTTAAACTATTTATGTACCAGCTATTACTACGAATCCCCGAAATAGGCTCATTTCATACAAGTACTCGATCTGCAACTTTAAGCCCATTTTATTACTTGTAAACATAAAATTTTGTTATTTCGTCGTTTTTAGACTGCTTTAAACGGAGGTGATAAAGAGGTGTTTTTATGTTACAATGAAAATTAATGTATTTGGATACATTTCTTAGGAAATTAAGTTTTTAATATTTTGTACTTGTCTAGAATCGTTCCTTACCTTTTTTATTTGTGTCACTTTTTGTGTGTTTTCTCTTTTTTTATCTAAATAAAATATAGTTTATAGCAATCGACTGTAAGATTGCTTCTTATTAATGAAAAAGTTTTCTGAATTGGATCAGTACTTTCAGAGATTACCCGCTACATACAAACATTTAAAATTTATCTCTTTATAATGTTATTATAGTCAATCTACCTACACTGTAAGGCCAATTTTTCAATTACCTCAGAAAACGTCATCTCAGTGCTTATTTGTCCGAACTACCAAATTACCTATAGTATTTAATACAGAAATATTGATATTATTGATTGATCTATTTAATAATATTTTATCAACATTTATTTCATATATATATAAAAAAAAAGTTTTTTTAATAGAGGAAAAAAGCTACAGTATTTATTAGAAGTTTGAACAAATAGTCACTAAGGCAATGAAAAGTCAAGAAAATAAATTATTAGGTGTTTGATCATAAAAACGTAATTTATATAAGTAAATAGACTGTTTTTATTTACGTTATCATATAAGTAACTTTTATATGATAATTGAACAAAAAGCAACCCTTAGAAAAATAAAAAAAATCATTCATATTGTTCAATCGTTTATTGAAATATAATCGAAAAACATACAGTAAGGTACTTTTGTTTTGTAGAACATATAGCCCAAGCATTCGTAATGCAATGTGATATGTTATTTACATTATTCTTGAATTATATGATACGAGATATTTTAACTGAATTATTTCTATAATATACTCTATAGGTACAGCGTATTGAAATTATTTCTATAGAATTGACAATTGCAACCGAAAATTAAGCAAATAGGCAGAGGCGGATCGTAAATATAGAGGGCCCTGGGTAACACTTCTTGGGGGCCTAAAAATGACTTTCAGTTTGATTAATTAGAATTAAACTGTCATTTTGCCTTTATAAAATCTATAATAATAGATGGTATTATAACGCTATTTTTTTTAGTTTTGGTTAATTTATCTAAGGGTTGTTAGGGCATCTTTTTTTTATTTCGTTTTTTTTTTATAAATGCGTAATTTTATACATTGTTTTCAACAGGGGGCCCTTATATCTTAGGGGCCCTGGGCTGTAGCCTACAAAGTCTATATACAGATCCGCCCCTGCAAATAGGTAATACACAATTATAAGATTTTACTACTTTTATTTTAATATATAAAAATAGCCATCATTTTATTATAAAAAAAATACTAAGGGTCATATTTCCCCAACGTTCTCATAATGAAGATAACACATTAAAATGTCTAGAATCTGCTTTCTATACTCATGTGCATTTAAAAGCCATTTTAAAACTTCGACTTGAATATTTTGAAATACCTAACAGTTGGCACTGATAATTACAATAAATGGGTATTTTTGAACATCTCCCACAAAACGGGTGATCAGTACAAAACTGGGCTAACCTTCGAGCTTATATCAAAGCTATTACCAAACATTTATAAATCTAGTTGTGCTAATGTATCGGCTAATGAAAATGAGATATAAATTTGCTTTCTATCTAATTAAGCTAAAATTATACATGAATATGTTCGTTTTCCAAACAGAACATAAAATACAATATATTAGTTTTTTCACAAAAAGGAGAGTTAATCCACTTTTGTACTGACAGTTAACTAACTAACTTACACTACCTATATATATTATAGACAAATAGAATGACATAAATCACAGGATTCAATTCCAAATGAAGCATCGTGCAGGTTGTAAAATCAGTCGTGCGCAAAGCTATTTCGATTATTCCATCTTTCATTCGTAAAATAAGTAATAAAATAGAAATAAAAGATAAGTGGTACTGTGTGATTTATTCAAAATAAATTTTTTACTGTGTGTTTTAATATTTAATAAAAAATATTGTTAGTAATTGTGAAAATAAATGTTTTTTTCAAGGGAATATAAAAAAACATGCTTTTTTAACTGTAAAGCACAATTATTTTTAATATATGATTTTTTTTCTTTAAATAATACTTCAATTCGAAACTAAAATGATTTTTAATCAAGATTTATCATTTTAACACTTAAGCCAGATATACACATATATTATTTTACACATATATTTTGAGATATAAAATTTTAACACTAACTAATTTAATACAAATAGGCGATTATGAACAACATTTAAAAAGTTATAGTATACAGAATAAACATAATTGTTAACATAATAAAAACATTAAAAAAAAATCAAAAAAAAATCAAAAAATAAAACATAATGAAAGTCTCTTTTATCTAATTTTAAAAAAAGTAATCAAAATCGATTCATAATCACCCAACTCTATTATCATAAATTTGTGATGATCATTATAAAGCTCGTGATACTGTGATACATCGCGATAGAGACATCAAACATATATATTTATAAACAGCCTTATATTAAGATTGCGTGGAAAATATCTAAAGTTTGCACAACACTTTAATTCGTATAGAAATTTTTGTACAACAGTTTATGTATCAAGAATAGTGCATCGAATACTCTATAGTTATAACATTTTGTTGAGACTTATATTGTTTTTTAATTTTCAAAACAAAAATTATTATTTCGCTTGAAAATTAAAAAACTAGTAATATACAGACGCATAGACATATTTGTTACTAATATAGACATTTATATATTCTTTCTACTACATTATTATAATCTGTTCCACTAATTTGAAAAAGGAATATTTTACAAAATTATGTAAACTTGACGTAGGATGTAGAAATTATTTAAAAAAATAGGATATTTGTTAAAATATGACGATTTAGATGTTATACGAAAATATGATATGATCTAAAAATTGTCATAATTAAAGCGAGAATTCAATTGCATCTACCATACTAATTAATACTTTTAAATTTAAAATATATCAAAAAGCATGAGTCTCCTAACAATTTGGCATGTAAAGATAAATCTCACTCAATATAATGTAACTACGATATTTACTGGGTAGGGCGCTACTCCGCGGTCATGTCTACTTTTAAGTTCTACTTGTAAATGCGTAAATCTTGCGTAGAAAAGTGTCACTATGGGAATATTATCTTAATTTATAGCCTCAAGTGACTCGCGAAGCTGGTTGAGATACAATAAAATATCAAGGAACTTGGCAAAAAATTAGGCATAACTCTGCGCATGTTCTAGCGGTATATCTGACAGTTTGTTACCTTTCTCCACCCAGTTCTTTAATCTTCCGCGCAACTCTTCTAGGCTTTTCGATTTGGCTTTATTTATCCTCTTATACTTGACGTCTTTAGGCTTTGTCACGTTCCTATGGTTGGACATGACTCTATTGTATGTTACTACATGGTTTGACTTAGTCTCCGCTTCTCCCTCATCGCTTTCTGGATTCGAAGTAACCTCCTCATCAGAATCGTTGGGAGGCATCATTCTTTTTGGCACATAGCTATAGGACCACACATCACTACCCTTCGGTTTGATGTCTTTATCGTTGTCTATGCTTTTCACTTCAGCTGTTAAAACGATGCTTCGCATTCGGAAATTGTCTCTTCTTTGAGCTAGAAGGCTGGTTTCATTATATTTTTGTTCGTCAGTTTTGTTCGCGTCCTTCAGTTCTTTTTCTGTGCTATTTTGTGCACTCAAGCCTTTAGTTGAATCACCATCTGCCTCCTCTTCCACGCTATAAACTGTTTCCAGAATTTCTGGCCTCCTGAGGAATCCATTAGAACGCCTGACAACACTATATTTAAGATTGGGATCAATAGCATCTGAAATCGATCGAACTATCGTAACGCTATCTGGGTTAGTTGATCTAAACCTTGGCACGTGGGGCAGATTACTGCAGTCAGAATCGACATCTTCCATAATAACTGCTGAATCGGAATCGTTTAGGGAATCAAAGTCGCCCGTGATATGTGTGTCTTGTAACATATCTCTAAAATCTGGTATAGTTTGTGATGTATCGATACCATTATCGAGTAATTTAGAGTGGAGGGTTTCGATTACCTTCTGCTGTTTCATGATAATCGTTTCCCTGAGCGCGAACATGTTGGTGATCTCCTTCTGTTTGCGAACCAGTCGAGATTCGAATAAGAGGAGCTGGCTGGATAAAGACTTGAGTTGCTCGGCTTTCTCTCGTTGCAGGCGCGAGACTAGTTCCTCCTGGGTGCGATGCGCTCGACGCCATGTTAGAAGTTGATGAGCTTGTGCTCGATATTTCATTCGGAGATCTCTGTAAATGAGGAAAATATATTGTTAATTTTCACTCTAACCTATTATGTAATTATTTTATTTATTTATAACTATATTGCAAATTATAAAAACTGTTACAATATTTTATACAGATAGGATACAGATGTGCAAAGACGACCTTACAGGCAACCGATAAGAACGGATTGTAAAGAGGATAAATGTAAAAAGCAGAATGATGATGAGATGTACATAAAGTGAAAAAGTCATGTAAATAAACATACGTAGATTTAAAAATTACCTGTTATGATAATTAGTAAGTTATGCTAAATTTATAATCGATATATAGCTGAAACGTTACCGGATGGTCCTCCGAGCTTCGTCAAGGGTGTGCGCCTCCAAGGGGTCGGTGAGGGATGCGGCGAGAGAGACATCTGGCTCCGTCGGGCTGTTTAAGGCCGACTCACTCCGACTGTGAACAAACGACATCATGTTACCTATTAATTTATCAAAACCAAATTGTTGTTATACTTAAGTATGTTATCCATACAACTATACTCATCATATCTACGAGTATATATTTTGGGGCTATAATATATACCTCTATAATATGAATTATCACTAAGGAAGGAAGTGTTATGACTTTATTTTCAAAAAAAAAACGAAAATAACGTACAAGTGAAAGAATTAACACAGGAAAAAAAGATATTAGATACTAAAAACTACAAACATAAATGTATAGTATTAGTGAATTAATGTATAGGTAAAAAAATAAATGATTGTATATAAAAGATTAAATTTTATATATTATGTATACGTAAATATCATGTGGTAATATAATGTTGAAAATGATTCCCATATAAAAAAACTCAAAATTAACTAAATTACGCTACTATTTCTTTAATTATCATAATTTTATCTAACAGTGGGCAAAACACTAGACAAAGATGATATTACTAAAGTTTAATATAACTGAAATTCTCGCTGCATATTTCCAATTCGCAAACTCAATTAGTTCGTGCTCCAGCTTCGTATACATTATGGATTCGCGATCACATCCCAGAATCTATTTCCTGAGGATATTTCCATGTAGAAGCAAAGCGTGCATCGAGTAATCTGAATGATATCGAATAATGATATTGGAAACGGTGCCAAATTTCTACTTTTGGTATATTAATTGGAAAAAGTCGCTTTACGTTATATGAAATAAATTCTTAAACTTTTAGTGATAACCCGACTGCGTAAAAAGCGAATTAAAAAGATTAGAACAAGTCAACGAAGAAATATAGTATTATGCAGCCAGAATATATACAATACACATATAAGACAAACAGCTACACATGTACAGTGTAGAAGACAGTATAAAACACCGTTCATACAAACAAACACCAACATTCGTCTTGATATGGCACTCGCCTTATCAAGACGAATCTAACGACATATTAATCATTAAAATTGGGTAAGCCGTTTAGTAATTACGAGGGAACATAGGGTCGGACATACATACATATAGATCAAACACATAATCGTCCTTTAAGCTGCACCGCAGTCGAATTTAAAAAGTTAAACAACATGCAAAGTAGTTTACTTAGTCAAACTTTCAGATAATTTGTGTGTGCATTATTTTTCTATACAAGATTGTAAAGCAATATCATGATATTTTTTATAGCGACAGTATTGTACCAGACCATCATTTACGTGCTTCGATATTTAATGGGGGGAGCCCTAAGCGGGAAATAATCCACTCTCATAAGCGTTATATTCACAATAAGCATTGCCCGCGGCTCCGTCCGCGTTCAGATGACCAAAAACCAAATTCTTAGCTTTTACATAATACTCGTATTAGTATACTCTTACATTGCAGTTTTTGTATTTTTTCTCAGAAATGAGACATTTTCCCGCAGTAAAAAGTATCCTATATGTTGACCCGGATAACCAGCTATCATCATACCAAATTTCATCAAAATCCCTCCAGTGCGGTAACAGACTCAGACAGACAAAAATTCAAAAATCTATAGATTCGGCGTCTGTATCGATAATAATGTTTATTTGAATAAGATTTTCCAAAAAATATTTAATGTACAGATTCGGCTTAGTTACAATTTTATTATATGTATAGATTAATCACATGGGATATACAATATATATCCCATACAAGTATGATATTCATGGAAACATTATTATGTGGACATGTCGTGATATGACCTAGTAATGACATGTTCAAAGTGTACGTGTAAAGGAACGGGAGCAGTTCATAAAGGGAGAGGCTGAGCATAAATTAGTTTGCACAGCTACGAACCCGCATTCCCGCAAACAACACGTAATTTGACGTGTTTTAGATAAATAAACGTGTTTAATTGTTTGGTAAAGTGAATAGAAACATTATAAAATTACAATGTTAATTTATAAATTAAGTTTATAATTGTTATTAAGTCATTTAGATACGTTCTATTATTTTATGAGAATTAATAAGTAAATAAGTTTGTAATTTTATTTATTTACTAGCGACTCACTCTCGTTCTATTTCTTCGAGATAAGGTATTTTCCCGCAATAAAAAGTATCCTATAACATGCAGGACCGGGATAACCAGCTATCATCATACCAAATTTCATCAAAATCCTTTCAGTGGTTTTTTCCGTATGCGGTCACAGACAGAGAGACATACAGACAGACGAAAACTCCAAAAACTATAAATTCAGCCTCTGTATCGATAATAATGACTATTTCTAAAGATTTTCCAAAAAATATTTAATGTACAGATTTAACTCAGTTAGAATTTTATTATGTACTCGTACTAGACTAGAGTCACTAATGTAACTTCGAACTACACTCGACACATTATCGACATATTTATGTTTTATATATTACTAGCAGAACCCGCGGCTTCGCTCGCGCTAAAACTACATAAAAATCTCTAAAAGGGTAGTTTCATACAAACTTTCATCCCCTATTTTACTCCCTTATCGGATGAATTTCGAAAAATGCTAAAACATGTATTTATTTGATTTTATTGAAGAGCATTAATACCAAGTTTCAAGTAATTCTGATCATAAATATTTTTTTTGGGTTGTATTATGACTTGTATTCCCGTGGGAATTAGATAGTTTCCCGCGGTAAAAAGTAGCCTATATCACTCTTCAGTCCTCCAACTATCTCCACACAAAAAATCACAACACTCAACAAAAAGGACAAACAAATAAACAAACAAACACACTTTCACATTTATAATATTAGTATGGATAATGTATTTATAGATATACTATAAATATGTGTTTTACAAAATAAAGGTAAAGTATTAGGACAAAAGATAACTTATCTCTTTAAGAGATTTCTTCTAGAAACCCTTCAGATGTGAGAAAATTAGTTAATTAAGTGCGATATAGGTACAATACATATATCAACAACATTAGATGGTATAAACTTTAAATTGTAACATATGTTTAGTATATCAACCAATTATATACAATAAATTAATTTTATAATGATCAAAAGTACCTAAAATAATATTTTCATTTCTTAATATAATTTCTCACTTCTAGTAAGAACATCAAGAAATGAACATGAAGTCAATATGTAACCATTTATAATTATTATCTACTCATTTATTCCTATTTACTATTTTATTTATTAAATTACATTTTTAATGATACCTTCTCAAACTGTTCAAATCTATAGTAATATTATGAAGAGATAAAGTTTGGATGTTGATATAATCTCTAACTACTGATCTGCTCTTTAAAATTCTTTCAGAAACCTAGAGGAAAGAACAGGAAGCTACATTACCGCGGAGTGCTATAGGCTATTTTTTTATTCCTATAAAAAAGTGTTTACTATCAGAAATCATACTAACTTCATTAAAATCGAAAAAAAAACTGATAATTAAGTTATTTTTCGGCGTACGTGCCTAAACGGTTTGAAATAAAGCAATAAAATATATGGCAAAAAAAACACCAAGGAACGCACCCGAGCGCAGAAAAAGTCGAAAATGACAAGTTAAGCTTTTATAAGAAAAAGTCCTTTTTAACGCCAAAATATTCATGAATTATAATACTTTCGCCTGAAATAAAATAATGGGTATAGAACTGCTGTAGCATGACACGCTACATCTCATATTCATAAGGCTATGGAACACGTGGGCTTGAATTAAAAGGTGCAGTTCTTATTACGGAGAGCTAAAGCACGTTATTCGACAAAACTTATGGAGTCATAACGTGATAGGTAAAAACGTTCATTATAATTTTGTTTGGTCCAAGTCTGAAGATATTGAACTTTATTTAACACTTAGCGAATATATTTTTATTAGAAAGTATTATACTAGATACTGAGAGGAATATACTGAGTATTTAAATTCTAAGTAAAATAACGTAAAACAGTGAGAATGAGATAAAACTATGTGGCAGAAAAGCGTCTCTATTTATTACTATCAAAACTGACCAATAGACACGTCTATATGTTTGTGGATGGCATATTTTCGTGAATTTATTTGAATAAATTTCGTGTTTTGCCATGTTTACGCTATGTCCGACCGTCCGTCCATTGGATGTCACGTACTAATGACATGATCTTCCTGTAGAAGGTTTGTTTTCATATTCAAACTACAAAGAAAACGTCGTAAGCTCCACTTTTTGTCTTATCCGTAGTGATCATTATTTAGCCTTAGTGCTTATTTCTCCAAACTACCCATATTTGTTGTACTTTACAGTAGAAAGTTTATTCCGCCTATTTCAAAAACAAAACATTATTTCTAAGATTTATATACATATATAAATAAAATATCACAACAAGCTCACATGGTTTACACCATACATACGAGACAACCATTATTTCACGCGAGCAACATAATTTTACCAAACGAACCTTTTTTCGTAGTCTCTGGAGATATCTTTTAACAAAATTTATACAAAAAAGGTGATAATTGTGTCAAGTTACGCAAATAATAACGCATAAAAAATTTATAAAAATTACTGAATGTACTTATTTATTTTTACTAGCGGCTCACCCTCGCTTCGCTCGGGTTCGCATCTCCAAAAGCACAAACAGATCTATCCCACGGGAATCGTTCATTTTTCCGGGATGAAAGGTATCTAAAATGTTGACCGGGGATATAAGGTACCACCATGCAAAATGTCATTTAAATCAGTCCAACAGTAATACTTTCTTACATTTACGCGAATATTTGGCATTTTAAATAAAACTATCTTTTCGGATTATTTCGCAGATTTATTTTGATTTTTGGTTCCCGACGTTTCGAATGCTTTACAGCATCCTTGGTCACGGGAGAGATTGAGGTGTTAGATGTCTCGAAGGTATAGTTGTTACAGACAGCCTACCCACAATTAACAAAATGAAAATTGCACCAATTACCTTACAATATTGTAAGGTAATTGGTGCAGACCATGGATGCTGTAAAGCATTCGAAACGTCGGGAACCAAAAATAAAATCAATCCGCGAAATAATACGAAAAGACAGT